ACCCGGGCCCCTGGCCTCCCCCGGGGCCTGGTTTTCTCCCTGGGCTCCTGGCCTCCCCTCACCTGACCTTCCGCTCAGCCTTGCCCCTCCCTCCCCGGAGCCCCGGCCTACCCCGGCGGGCTGCCCTTCTCCCGTGGTTCGGTCTCTGCTCCCCGGGCCCCAGGACCCACCACTCCTACCTGTCCAGCAGGAGTCCAGCCCGCGGACCTCACTTGGGCCGCAAGACCCTTTCAAGCCCCAGGCATGTCTGAGCCTGGATACCTGGACTGACATTAGGCCCCCAGCTCTCTGCTCGGTGCCCCAGGGACCTGCCGCGCTGGCTCCCACGGCCCCCTGGCCTCCTCCCTGACAAGGGCTTCATGCTCCAGAACGCAGACTTCCCTCCCACTCCTCAGGCCAAGCTCCCCTTGCTCCTGGACTCTTGGGTCCCCTCTCTCTTCGATTCCCAGCTGGAACAAAGTTCCAACCTTTGGCCTACTTGGTTTGAAGTGGAGCCTCCCAGCTCAATTCTGCCAGGCCGAGTGGCCCAACCCTCCATGGCCCTGGGCACCCCGGTGTTCTTTGTCCAGTACTCACATCTGCCCCCACTCAGGGCTGCAGAAATCTGGTCAGTGGGCCCCATAACAAGGACCATCCCTCCCCAGGCTCTGCACCCTGAGCCAAATTCCTCAGAATGCCTTAGCTAATTCCCCAGTCTTTGGCTCTTGAAATTCCTTGGACCCCATGTGTTGTTCCGTCCTTTGGTGTGTACACCCCTCCGCAGGCTTCTTGGAAGCCCTGCCACCCCACCCCCCACTCCTTCTCCCCGGGATTTCAGACCCCCTAGGCCTGCTTTCTTGTCTGTCCTGACCCCAGTGCACAAGTCATTCTAAATTCCCTTTTCTTTTCCCCACCTTGCTGTATTCGGTGTTCCAGAATCTTCTGGCCTCTGGTTTACCTTCCAGCCTGCTGCCTCAGTTCCAGCAAGTCAAGGCTGCCCTCCCCATGAGGGAGCCCCCTCTGCAGTCCTCCTGGTCCCCTCACTGCTCAGCCCTGGCTTTCTTGGACTTGCCTGGCCTGAGCCCCTGGGACCCCCCGCCACTGCCAGGCCCTTGCAGAGACCCAGTTTTTAGAGGCGTGTCCCGACGTGTCCCGACTGCCCCTCGGATTCCTCCTCACCCCGGAGTTACGTCGTTGTTTCTGTTTCGTGCCACGGTTGTCAACCCAGGGATCACCGAGTGATGACTTAGAGGTTGTCACGCCTGGGGGCTCCTGGCATGCAGTGGGGTGGGGGCAGGGCACACGGGCGCGTCCCCAGAGCCCAGGACGACCCCCTGCAGAGAAGGACCAGGCCACAAATGTCAGCAGTGCTGAGAGGGAGGCACTCGCCGTCCCTGTAGTGATGGCTTTGCCCAGGCCCCTGCCGGTGGGGTGGGAGGCCAGGAGCTCGGGCACTTCTTGACGTTGTGGGCATCTTCCTGGGGAGAGGGTCTCGACCAGTCATGTGTGGCCCCTTGAGATGTGACTCATGAAACAGAGAAACGGGGTCTTGACCGAAGTTTGGCATTTAATTGTAATACGCTCCAATAGCCATGTGTGACCAGCGGCTGCCATCCTGGTCTAGGGGATTCCGCCATCCGGGAGGCCCGCATCCTAGAACTCCAGATGGAGTCGCGAGTCCTTCCCTCACTCGGTCGCTCCTCTGTTCTGCTGCCCCTCCCAGCACGGCTCCCGCCCCCTGGGCGGCTGTAGCCCCGCAGGCCCTGGGTCCCCCACTGCCTGCTCCGCACTAGCCTGCTTGCAGATGTGCCCCCCGCCCCCACCCCACCCCCACCCTTGCTCCAAACAGGGGCTTCAGACCAGCCCCTGATGGCAGAGCCGCCTCCTCGTTGACCTCCCTGCAGGTCCCCAGGCAGCCCCTCTCCTTTTTCCCTGCCCTCCACCCTCCTCTCCTCCTTCCTCTCAGCTCTCCTTTCCTCTTTCCATGAGTCCTTTGCCCAGATCCTGGATTCTTTCCTATTCCTTTTTCTGACCCCCCCCCCCCTCACCCCAGTACACGCCCTCCTTCCCGGCCCTGTCTTTGTCACTCTTGGTGAGAAACCCAGACACCTCCTGGGCTTGGGTGTGAGCACAGGGGCCTGGGTGGGCGTCTACACCCCAATCTGGTCACACCAGGTGGTGTCCCCCATTGGCGGGGACAGGAGGCGCCCACTGCTGCCTGGGGAGGTACTCAGCACTGGGGAGGGTGGTTCGTGTTGAGGGGAGGCCCCTAGAGGGTCTGGGGTGATGCTTGTCCCCCGGAGGCCACAGGAAGGGAACAGCCTTTGACAGCTGGTCTGCTGGGTCATTGCCGATTGCAGCATCCCGTGTCCCCAGTGTCACACATGCCCTAGGCTCCCGCCTCCTGGTGCAACCCTTGCTCTGGGTCTCCTTTCCCAACTTCCTGTCGCTCCTGTTGAGAAACCCAGAGGGGCGGACTGCTGGGAAGGAGAGGCTGTGTTCTTTGAGCTGGGGTGTGACCTCCCCCCCAGGTGGACTCTGGCCCTTCCAGGGTGGCCCCCTGCTTTCACAGTGCCTGCTGGTGCCTGTGCTGTGGTCAGCGACCCCCCTTGCGTCCGTTCTTGTACCCGCTGACACAGGGCCCTGGGAGTCAGGGACATAGGCATCTGGCTGGGCAGGCTTCCAGGGCTCCCTCCCCTGGCCCGGCTCTCCATCCTTGTTGTAAATAAAGTTGTATCTACACATGGTCACGCCCGCCGTCGGTGCTTCCTGCTGCAAAGTACAAGTGCCACCCGCAATAGGGGAGGATTGGCCCTGGGCCCTCGATAGAGAAGTTTGCAATGCCTGTTCAGGTCTGGCCCCATTGCAGGAACCAGCGACTTCTATCCAGGTGTCCAGGGCCCGTCCCCACACAGGGGTGATCGAGGCTGCGCCAGCTTCAGCCTCACTCACTCCAGCAAAGACAGTCTCTGCCCTTGGGGTGTTCAGGGTTTGGAGGAAGTTGGCTCTCACCCACTCCTTCCCTTCTCTGGCCTCACCCCCTCCCTCTGGAAAGTGGGGTCACAGTAGGCTGTGTGTCCCTCTGTATCCCCACCCCAAGGTGACACCTGAGAGGCTGTGAGCCCCTGGGAGGCTGCAGTGGGACAGGTGGAGCTGGGGAGGGGCCTGCCCCGCATTCCTGGAGCTTCAAGGGCTCCTGAAGGTCTTTACCGCCCTCCCATGGTGGCCCTAAAGCAGAGGAGAGGCCGGAGGGGTGGACAGAGGCATGGAGCCCCCAGCCTGGGGCACACGGCCACCTGCGCTCTGTGATCACTGGTCCCTGAGACCGCCTGCCCATTCCCATGTGGTGTGCAGTCCCTCTGTGTCCTGCTGGTCCCCTCCTCCGACCCACCCTCGGGATGAGCTGTAGGAAGCGGCCCTTGTCCCGGAGACACGTTCCTGGAAAGCAGAGATGGGGACCTTGCTCCTGGCCCCAAGCCTCATCTCTGAGGACACAGGCGTTACTTTGCCTGCAGCCTCGACCTTCAGGCAGCAGGCTCACTTCCACGGGGAAGCAGACCCGTGTCTCTGTGCTGTTACTTTACTGCGTGGGTCTCAAACTGGAGCCCCTGAGGGCCACATCTGGCCCCCACACGGGAGACCAGGTGTCCATTCACCATGTCCTGGCTGGTGTGCGTCAGAGCCCACTGGACCAGGGATTTCTGGGTGATGCTCGATTTCTCCCTCAGTGAGTGAGGTCGCTACCCCGGCACCCCAGTCTAGTTAGGGTGTATATAGCAAGGAAACACTGGGTGGTGCTGGGGTTCCAGGGAAATGGACAAGGCGGGGTTGGAGCGGTGGAGAGGAGGGGCCCTGCCCTGATGGGGCAGGACGGAGACCACCAGCTCAGGTCAGCCAGGGGAGGAGTTTGGGTTTTCCCAGGGCCATGGGGACCCGGGGCAGTCTTGCAGCCTGGGGGCTCCCTCTGCTGGCACTGAGACCCCTGCTTGCTGACTCGCCCTGGAGTGGATGCTGCTGGCTGTACAGGGGTCTCGACAGTCTGGGCACGAGGCCCCGGGGGTTGAGTTTGGTCAGCTGGCACCTGCGGGGCCCTGCGTGCAGGGCACTGGGGGCCCGTGGGGCCGCGTCGGGGGAGCAGGGCCACCTGGGCTCCCTTCCCGGGGCTCCTGCTGATGTTCCTTCCTTGGCAGGTGGTCTGCGGGGAGCCTGGCCTCTCCTGCGGGCTGGGAGGAGGGCATGCCACGTCCCGTGGATCTCAGGAGTCACGGGAGCCACGCTAGCTGGGCACAGCCGGCGCCCGCGCCTGGTGGGCAGGGCAGTGCTGCTTTCTGCCGGGGTTGCGGGGAGCAGGGCTGAGCGTGGGGGGCGGTGCCAGCGCAGAGGCAGCAGGTGGAGCCCTGACTAGGAGTGGGGGGGTGGTCCAGGGAGAAGGGTCTTAGTTTTCATTGGGTTCTCCGAAGGCCCCGCAAGTCACCAGGGTTTGGGTTGGGTGGCCAGGGTCCCCGCGCCCCTCTGAGGGAGCCCCTCCCCCGCAGGCACGCGGAACGCGGTGCTCAACACGGAGGCGCGCACCATCGACGCGGACGTGCTGAGCCGCCGCTGCGTGCTCATGCGGCTGCTGGACTTCTCCTACGAGCGCTACCAGCGGGCCCTGCGC